ATATGACTAATTTCATTCAAAAGTATAGGATTCATCGCTATTTACAGTGTTTTCGGCTGATACAATATGTTCACGAAGATGGCACATGAAGCATTCATGAAGATAAAACAGGTTAGGCGTAGATCTTGGGGGGGGGGCTACCATATATATATATATAGGATACACAGGGTTTAGGGTTTAGGGGGATAGGGTTTAGCGCTGGGTTTGGGTTCGCTCTAAAGCCTCCTTGTGACGTGCAATCCCCAGCGTGCGCTCGCTTGCTGCATCATATGACCCACAGTCTAAACTCAGGGTATCCCGCTTAATACCCCCAAGAGTAGTCCCCTATAAATCCCCTACATAACCAACCCCCTTTAAGGAGTTTAGACTATAGCTCGTATGGGCCATGCTCTTGAGATACATGCATGGCTCCAGCCCGCGGGCGCCATTTTGGGGTTGAAATGGATTATGGGGGCTGTTTTCAGAATCGTTGGCCATTGTGGGTACCTTCTTTGGCACTGCGCCTACTATTTCGGACCTACGCACTCTTTTCAAGCATGTTGGACGTAGGTTTGGGGCTTTTGGATGTTGGAGGCTTAGAGCTGCAGATCTAGTGGGTGTTCAGGAGCTCTGAAGTGACTTGAAGGCCACTATGGACAGTCAATTAGAGGATATGGCTAGGCATTGTGCTTTGATTTCAGCTGTGAGGTGTGGATTCTGGATGTGCGCATGCTTCGGCCTCGCGAGTCGCTTGCCGTCTAGATGCCCGACAAAGGTGGGGTCTGTTACCTGCTTCTGCGAAACACATCATATCATGCCACATAACATGAGAACACATCTTGTACCATCTGGCAAAGTAAATGTGCGTACAAAAGACCACAGCTCCCAGGGACCTAAGCCCGAAAGACTAAATCGACCAGGTGGCGAAGTGACATAGCTCGCACTTCCCCTTGCCTGGAGAATTGCTCGTCTGTCAGCGGTGTTGAGGGGTCTGGGGCCCAAAGCCCGAGCCCTTCATTTGCCATATTCATTGGTTTATCCCAAGCAGGGAAAAACCCCAAAGCAATTGGGGCACTGGGATGCCTGCTGTTCCTATTAAAATTACCAGCGGAAGGGAGGGAGCAGTTCAGCTTCGCAGACAATAGTCCGGGGCGGTTGTCTACGAGTGGGAACCATCACAATATAATAGTAGCAGAACAAGAAGTAGAAGTGATCCGGCAAGAAAAGTTATCACTGGCGCCCCTCGAGAACCTGAACATAATGGAGTCCCCCCCAATACTAACCCAGACCCTAAACTAATAGAGCGCTTCCCCCTAGTAGGGATGATAATAGGGATCCTAATATTTCGGCACTTAAAAGGAGGCGGCTTATTCATCATGGGTCTACATTACTCTGGCCCTTTTTGGGAAATTGCCTGTCTGGCCGGGCCAAAAAAGCACCGAAGAGAACTCTAGGGCTTCTGGTAGCCAGACTCCCAAGCCTCGTATGAGAAAGAATCTTGCCTTCATTTTCTTTACAAACCCAACCTTTATTACGTTGTCCCCCGGCCAGGCAGAATATGGGACAATGACTAATTGTTGACAACCTGCATTTTTCGGCGCCCTCCTACACTAATCGGGATTCGATTCCACATTGCCTGAAATCTGCAAGCTTCAAGCTAACCTCTTTCCTGGGTTGCTGTTAAGGAACTTAAATTAAGTTAGCATAATATGGGTATACAGTAAATACTGGGGTATCCTTAATATGGCAATTTGAAACAAGTTCTCTAACAGCAACCTAGTTGAATGTTTGGAAGCAAGGAAGTCGCCTCCGATCGGCAGGGAAGCTTCGTCTTTGACTTGGCAGCTAGGTTTTCACCGGGATTCTACAGTAGGAGCATAAATGATTGAGATAAGGTGTTAAAGTGTTGAAGAGGTACATATCTAGGTGTGTGTGGGGACTGGCCAGAGGTAGTATGGGCTAACAACGCGATTCGGGGTGAAGTTTTTGAATGATTACTTGGGACATGGTTTCGGGGTCCGGATTTTACTGCTGAGATTTTGTGCGGGGCTTAGCCACAAAGGGCTTAGGTCTCAAAGCTTGCTTCGGAGCTTGCGTTTAGGACTGTTTGGGGTTGGGCTTGCTGTTGCGAGCCTTCATCTCATCCAGCCTTTGGAAACCCATAGCACATGTGCCATAATGGAACATGTGTCCGTCCCATGCCTTGGAATTTTTTTAAAGACTAGTACGCCCACCTTGCTGCTAGCCCAAAACAATATTGGTGACTTGGTGACCGAGAACCCGTGATAAACATAGGGATTAGATTCCCGTCTTTCGTGCTAACCCTAATATATACCCAATTATGACGTAGTAGTTTTCATTTTCTTTGTCATTATCGCTATATATAGCCCGTGTATAACCGGCTGTCACACGCACCCAATCAATGGATCGTCAGAAGCACACTCTTTTTGCTCTGCCCATTGAAGATCCGCGCACAGCCCCAGGCTTTTTAGATCTACTCTGCGCTCGAAACATAGCAAGCGCCCTGTAAGCTCGGAACATTGAGCCCTCTACTGTACCTTGTACGGAAAACCTAAACCCTAGGCCACTCAAACGATTCCTGAAGATAAAGATCGTAGGGTTGCGGGATGTTGTCAGGCTGGTGCCATCTGATCCCCACCGTTGAGCTCATCAGGAGCACCCAAAAGCATTCTCCTAAGCCGCAAGCGCGAGAATCGTCGATGATGCTTTCCATGCTGTGGCGCCGTAGGTCCTGGACAGCTGCTGAGGAAGCCTCGAATGCCTATCTATGAGCCTGAAACCTCTTGGAACCTTGCTTCTATCAGGGAGTTTTCCTTTGGACCCTTAGGGTTTGCATCCTTGGGTTTTGGGGCCCTAAACCATGGAATATGGCCCTCAATAAGGGTATTTGGGACCCAACACTTAGGGGTACAAACATTAAGGGTACAAACTTAAAGTCTTTGAGCTTCTACAAAGAGCAGGACGCACTAAGACTCGCTAAGGGTGCCTTTGCAGTGTACCCAGGATGGTTTTTGCAGGCACAAGTTCTGCTGGAAAGAGCGGGGCTCTGGCGTGTGAGAAGAATTCCAGATGCGCAAAAACAAAACATGACTTCTTCAGGAGAGCCTACTGGTCGCAACCAGGCAGCCTCAAACTCTTAGGGTTTGGGGTTATGTAGGGGTTATATAGGGGATATATTGGGATAATGGAAAAGAAAATAGAAACTACGATTTAAGGGCTTAGGGTTTGGGGTTATCTCAGCAATTTTGTTCTGAGCATCCTGAACTGTATTCGTGCGTGCCTTCAGGATCCTTTCGGTAGGTTCATTTGCCATAAGGAAAGCATCCTGGATTGCTGAAGAAGCAAGAAGCTCTCCTGCCGAATCCAGGGCAGGAACTTCGTCACAGTCTCTGATGTCCTGACCTTGGGCGCGGGGCAGCCCTAAACCCTAAACCCTGGGTTCAGTTTCATGAATTTGTACACCGCCAACTTAGAAAGAGGACTCTCAAGTCCCCAAGCAGAATCCGATGTGGGGGGTTCTTAAGATAGGGGATACCATTTTGGTGTCCCCCCATACAAAGTACCATAGTATATTGGGGTCTATATTGGCGCCCCCCGATTTTGGGAAACTACCATATGTAGAGCAGCTCAACTGTGGTCCCAATGGTTTCAGGCCTTCTTGGGGCTCATTATGCTGAGGATGTTGTTGCTTTGGGTGGGGCTACTTCCTTAAGCAGTCCTGTAACCCAATTGGGAAGCTGTTGTGCATCCAAACACAATCACCTAACAATTCAATCAACCAGCTTTGGAGACTTTCTAGGCAGACTTTCACTTGCAGGTCTTTAGTTCTACTTACCCTGAACCTCCCAGAAGGAGGAGGCTACGTCATGAACTTTCCAGATGGTAGCCATATCTGCCACGGAGCGGATGGCATTGAAGATATTTCGCGAGACATCTTTGCAGCGCATGGGAAGATCTGCGGGAGCCCACTGTATCCACGTTTGACGATGGGCCCTATAGGCTGTTTGAAAGAATGCCCCCAAGGAGCTGCAAAGTATGGACTGCGTCTGCGCAAGTATCACTATTTTTTGGCCAGTGCTACTACTATTCGTAAAGAATTGTTACTGTTATGCTCATTATTGTGGGGATTGGTTGTGGGCAGGTTTAGGGGTTCAGGGTTTGGTTTCGGGAGGAGCCTCAGTTATCAGCGGTACTTCTGGCCTATCATGGCTTCCACAATTCCTCAGCTAGGAGCCTCCAGTATACCTGAAGAGGACACATCAGCTCCTTCCCTGTGTTTTTTTGATTGTATTTGTGTATTTAATCTTCACCGATGAGGGGGTTTCCCAAAATTAGGGTTCCCTTTGCGAGGGTCCCCAAGGATTCTAATAGATTGGGGGTCTATATTGGAGTCTCCCTATTTTGGGAAACTACCATGGCAAGTCAATGCCTGCCTCCCTCTAGGCCGTTCTCTCTCATGAAGCCACTACCTTGGAACAGAGAACAGTCGCGGGCTTCGGCTGTTGCAACCTAAATCCCAAACCTTGAAAAATCACAGGTTGGGGGGAAGACCCCACCAAAGGTTGACAATATTTCAATTAGGTGGACCCCCCAGCCAGTAATAGTGACTATTATGGATAATCAGGATTATATTCGGGTCCTCTTATATTCCTATCATACCACTATTACAGGGTGGGGGGTCCTCCTAAAGTATTTCGTCTGAAGTGTACGCTAAGCAACACTGGCACGGGCGGGCTATAGCACAAAGGTGGGGTGGACTTCCACGAATTTCCTTGTCATGCTTTTCACTCTCCAAATGCTCTCAACAAGAAGCTCTGCAACAACCTGTGAATGGCTTCAATCTCTTCACACACTTTATGCGTCACGTGTGGGCATTACCATCAAATACAACTTACATTCCGCAGAGAAGTCGACTCTAGCGCGATGTCCTAAGTAATAACAGTAATACTAATAGTAATAATAGTAATTATAGTAATAATAGTAATAATAGTAACAATAGTAATAAAAAATCGTAATATCATTGACTTAGCACAATCACGTCAGAACCAGGCCGGGAACAACAGAGGCTTCACTGTTGCAATCGACACGTACTCAGCATCAGAATGATGGATACTATCGGTATTGCTGCTGTTACAGGAGGCTTATTCCGCAAGGGGAGTTGTTGCGACAAATCCTATGTAGCTTTATCTTTGATGAAGACCATCTTGCCCGGGGTGCAGCATCAAAAAAACACCAAGCGGACATCAAAAAACAAATAAAGCCGGCATCAAAAAAAACAATGCCCTGCAGACCAGAATCATAGCTACACCCTGGAGAAGGCAGCATTCCCCGCCACATCAAGAAAAAATAGTGATAGTACTAGTAAGAGTCCTTGACCATTACTACTAGTACTACTTATTATTCTCCGTATTAGTACCATTATTAATATTACTGTTATTAGTACCATTACTTACTATTGTTACTTTTACTCTTAGTGTTATTATTAGTGTTACTGTTACTATTATTCTATTACCAGGAAGAATAATAGTAACAGTAATACGAATAATAACACTAAGAGTAAAAGTAACAATAGTAAGTAATGGTAATATTAATTGTAATATTAATAATGGTACTAAGACGGATAATACTAAGTAGTACTAGTAGTAATGGTAACAATAATTATAGTAATCGTACTCATAATAACTAATAATTGGAATAGTAATTATAAATAATAGTGATAGTAATAGTAAGAGTCCTAGTAAGAGTCATAGTAATAGTCATGGTAATAGGAATTAATAATAGTTGTAATAGCAATGATAATAATAATGATAATGGTAATAATGATAATGATAGTCATACTAATGGCAATAATCAGAATGATTAGTGATAAGTACTCATAATAATGATGATAGTAGCAGCAATAGTAATAATGATAATAAGTAATAGTAACAGTAATAATAATAGTAGTCGTGATAAGAAGAATAATGAGTAATAGTAATAGGAATAGTAAGGCTAATAATAGTAAAGATCTAATAGTAAAAGTAGAAGTAACAGTAATAGTAATAGTGAAAATGAGTATTAATAATAGCGATACTAATAGTAGTAGTATCAGCATAAGAAAACATTGCTTTTTGGGTGTTGCGGAGCTATAAATGTTGTATTTACAGTAGCTGCAGCCTTGCCCGGTTACGAATACTGCAGATTGCACTGTTTATGCGTTTATTTTTTTCTTGATGTTCGTTTATTTTTTCTTGATGTTCGTTTCTTTTTTTCTGATGTTCGTTTATTTTTTTGATGCCTACTCCATCTTGCCCTCATACTTGAAGGTGCAACCGCTACAGTCAATCGACCACACCCGTCTAACATGCCACAATGGCTACTACCATTACTACCACTGCCTACCCCCATACTGGTACTCGTCCTCCTCCTCCTCCTGCTGCAGCAGGGACGACAACTACTATCATGCCATCAAGACGACAACAACTACGAACACATCAACCACAGCGACAAGTGCGCACCCCGTGCTGCCTGCTCTTGCTGCTGCTGCTGCTATTGCTGCTACCACAGCAGTACCACCATCACATGACCAGCACCCCGGAACCTTACCTCCCCAACACGACAGAACTTGGGACGCCTTCCGGACGCAGCCTCCCTCCCCTTTGAAATAGCTATACCCGACAGAGCATAAGCAATCCACCTTACCAGCTTGATTTCCATGTATGCAAAGACTTCTTAACTAGGTGTCGCTTATCTTAACCTTTCCTTCAGTTAACAAACCTTAACGCAAACATCCAAGGGCTTGTTCCAAGACGCATAACTCCCGGATAACGTTGCAATCTGTGTATATCAGATCTTCATCGCTATGAGTCATGAATCCATTCGGCATGAGCAGAACCGCCAGGACTTGACCAACGAACCCCACGTTAAAGCAGGGTTGCAGAGTTTCGGCCAATAGCTCTCCGTGGGAATCCGTTCGTATTTGTCAAACCAATCCATCACCTGAGGTTCGGGGTTTAGGCATGTAGAGAGACGCTTTGGACTTTGTGCTTCAAAGGCAGAGTCATAGAAGGGCTTTCAGTTGCGAATCTGACCCGTGTAGCATCTGAGCTGCGAGCAGGGTAACAAGGAACTGTGAAATAGGGGTTCGTTACGACCTACTATCATCATGGTCGCGGGTGTTGGTTGCACAGCTAGTCACCGACTTGCATGCAATTGCAAATCCCGCCCGCTGCTTTGCGGCCTAAGCAAGCACATGGCGTATTATGAAAATTGAATGGCTTTCTCTTCCTCATGCTTGGTAGGGTATGGCAGAGTGAATTGCTGTAGTAGCCCCTAGATCCACCGGCAACAGTACTCCTTGCAATCCTCCCTCCTCCCGACTTCTGCTCCCAACTTAGCTTTCCGACAGAAGAAAGCGCAAGTTGATTTTGGGTTTGGGATCCCTGCCCTGGTAAACCCTGGGCAGTGCTGAAATCTCTAAACAGTTGCAGGCCGTTCCTGCCTAAGTTATAGTCCCCCTTAAGTAGATAGAAAATGGGGTATATGGTGATCTCATTTTAAGATACCCAAAGCCATGTTTTATCTACTTAAGGGGGACTATACCCTTAGGGTTGGAGGGCGGAAGGTGCAGGCCTCTACTTCTCAGCCTGACCAACCCGCGCGAGAAGATCGAGTAACTACTCCTTGCAAACTCCGTCAACAGATTCTATACTCTCCACGGAAACCATGACCACTCAGAAGAACTCCCAGATAACAGTTTATAAGGCCGACATAGGCATAGGCTGGATGAGTCACAGTCAAAGAGTTCGTTTTCGCGTGCCACCGAGCTGCGAATTCGCAATACTGCAGCTCGATCGGAAATCCTTTCCATCAGAAGCAAGCTCTTATCATCATCATCATCATCATCGTCAGCATCAGCATTAGTAGCAAGTGGTGTAGCAATGGAGAAAATCATGATGTTTCGGTTAGCTGCTGTTGCTATTGTCACAAAACCATTTGTACCATGGTCAGGTCCTCAGGTTGTTGTGCCTGCAATGAATGAGGTGTATCAAGTTTACTGTGGTCATTACTAGTCTTACTGGTTGTCAGTAGCGGATGGAGGAATGTATCCCTCTAATAGCCCCTATAGAATGCCGAATGAGATTATAGGTTCCATTTTCATGTCTTCCTTTCCCACTATAGTGCCAATGGTTGCAGGATGGGAGAGCCTGGGCCTTCCGCCACTATGTTTGTAGAAGTTTGTGCTCTTGGGAATGTCTAAGACTCTAGGGTGTCAGGTCCTAAAATATCGCGTTTCAGGGCTTCACCGGGGTGCGTTTAAAAGACTGTCTAGATTCCATGTATACTACCAGTCCTCACCTAGGATTGCATAGGGGCTGTGCAAGGGAAACCCTCTCTTCAGAAATGGTCAAATCCTCGTCAGCCTTTTGCAGCAGGCTTCCGATCGTCCACGCCTGGTCTACCGTGCCGTTCTCCGAAGCCAGTCAGCCTAAACCCAAAGCCCTAAACCCTATCCAAACCGGGAGATTCCCATTGCAGTGGCACGGCATTCACGCAAGGCGTGTGTAGAAGAGGCATACGGACCAATTCAGGTAGGAATCAGAGGGTTATCAACGTTGTCTAGCGTGTGGCAGTATTTTGAGCTAGGGTAGGGATACTTTCTGTTGGAATTTCAAGTGTAAGGATGCCCAGAAACCCACTGTGAGCTCGAAAGGTTTGAGCTGTGCTGTGATGAGCTGTCATCCTCAAAAAAAAACTCCATCAAATCTTCCCTTTGCTGAACCCAGACCGCTGATCAATAAACCCCCTTCCCCTTAATAGGGATTATAATAGGGATCCCAATATTAAGGCCATTAAACAGGAGGGGCTCATTAATCATGGGTCTACATTACCCAACACCCTAAACGGTAGTGTCCACATAATTTTCCACTATCCCAATATAACCCCCATATAACCCTGAAGCAAAATGAGCTATAGTCTAAACTCCTTAAAGGTGGGTTACATAGGCGATTATATAGGGTTATTTGGGGGGATACTTGGACTTTAGACTACAGCTCAAATGAAGTTGTACATCCCTTCGACTGTGCAAGCCTTCAACGCCCGTATGTGAAGTCTGCTCCTCCTGGGCACGAGTGTCCTGTCGCGTTATCATGTCAAATGCTCAGCTTCTTGTGTCAGGCAAGACACTCCCTAATTTTTCTATGCTAGCGTTGTGCGATCAAAACATCAAGAACCCAGGGGTAACTGCAGTTCCTCAGTGCTTCGTTTGCACTGGAATCGGTTTACGGTGCCCAATCTTATGGTGATGCTCAGTGCAGCAGGCCGCGTTTGCAGCTAGTAAACGGCTGCAATGACTACTATGCAGAAAATTCCTTAACCTAGCCAGGACAGCCAGGATGTGGGCATGTACACGATGGTCGACAACAGTACGGTATTGTTTCAAATTCGAGAACCATGGTGGGAGTTCACTGGGGGTCTCAAGGTTGCCAATTTCCACAATCTCTAAAGACTACCATCTCGCCCGGACGCAAGCATGACGTCTCAAATGCACTGCTGCGCAGTTTCGCGGCCCCAAGCACGTAACCTTAATCCCAGTAAATCATAACGACTATGGGCTGCACGCAAATAACGATACCTGCTGAGCAATCCTGTGAGAATCAACAGTTGCTGCTTAAAAGTCCAGCTGGCTTTTAATTAGCTGGGAATGCAGGAATCCAATAGAAAATGGAAACTGCCATAATGCGTTATACAGGGCCCACTATAAGGATCCATTCCTTCATTCCTAGCTATCCAAAGGCCAGTCAAGGGAATGATGCTCAAGGCTCCAGAGCTGAGAATCTGAAATTTGGCCTCTCCTATCCCCGCTTCTGAGACAGGCGCGAACCATGATGATGGTGAACATGAAGACTTGCCCACCCCCCCGCCGCAAATGCTGGACAAAAACTAACCCGAAAGACTAGGCTCTTGCAGCATCCAACGGTAAACCCTGCCCACCACAGATTTGCATGTCATTGGTCCGCAGGGAGAGCAGGGCATTGTATCTCCCCGCGAAATACGAGTTCTGTGCACCTGATGATTTTGGGTCTGGGATCGGGATTCTACAGCTTCGGGTTGGGGTTCCAGCCGCTTCACGAACCAGGTGGGATCTACGTTACAATCGGCTGCGTGCCCTGAGCAGACAGTTCTATGAGTTTTTTGGTAGTGAACTGGCGAAACCCATAAATATGCATACTTAACCTGGACGCTTTGAATCGGACACGTATCCCCAAATCACCAAACCCAAATGAAGCGGTCCATACTGCAAATTCTACTTTTCGCACATAATATACTGCCGCGTGAATCAAGGTTCCCACATGCTGCAGAGTTTCAGGGTCCGCGGATCTGGGGAATGCGTTAATCTCTGGGCTCAAGATGCGTCGCTTATTTTGCAGGCTGGCTGAGTCCCATCAATCACTGTCAGAAGCCATTCATCAAAAAGCAGAAGAATTTTTTGCACGCAGCCACCTCATCCAATCATGACAGCCGCCCTGGCAGAAGTTTGGCAGCCATCATCTCCTTAAACCTGCTGAATCCTGGAAGGCATAGGTAGTTTCCCAAAATAAGGGGACCCCAGTATAGACACCAAATCCTATAATCCTTGTTATGGGAACCCCCGAAAAAGTAACCCTAATTTTGGGAAGCCCCCATTGCTGCCCCAAGCATTGAGCTAGAATCTGAACATATTTCACGTTGAAAATCCAGCACACCTTGTGATAATGTCAATGGTTAGATGGGCTGGCTCTCAACTTTCAGCTACCATACTATGGGTATGCCGTAAAGAACAGGGTAAATTAACTTAAGTTCCCGAACAGCAACCCAGTGATTGCATTCCATCCTGAGGCAGTGGGTGCCCCTGGATAGTAATCATGGCAACCATACTACTACTACTACTACTACCAATAGCAAGAAGTATCGTAACATGAATCATAGTAACAATAGTAAGTTCAATAAAGCAAGGCACGAAGGCTGGGACTTTTCCCTGCGAGCAACTCGTAGCCTCAGCTGGCTTCCATATGCGTAGAACTCATGCTTGAAGACTTGTACCTACTAGTGGTTATTAGGGAATGAGGGAATAGACTCCTGGTATAAATTCCCAGAGCCTACGAAATTTTCTGTTGCGCTTCTGTCTGGGTACCTTCTTGCAGTGTCTTCTTGGTCGAAAAGGAACCTGATAAGGTCTTAAGACGACCAGGATAGGAGTTCCCACAGACTCACCGCACGCCGTCAACTCCAAACCCATGTACAGCATGGAGTTAAGGCGGCTGCCAGGACGAATGAATGAAAGACAAATGAGCCATAATCTAAACTCCTAGTATCCCCCTTTATAACCCCTATAGTAGTCCCCTATATAGTCCCCTTCACAATCCTCCTTTAAGGAGTTTAGATTATGGCTGAAATGACTTTGCAAACCCTCACCCCTAAAGCTGAAGCAGGGGGTGTTGCAGTACTTCAAGGCTCAGGAGTAGCGTGCAAGGCAGCAGCGGTCAACTTCAGTATTGTGCCAGCTTGAAGCTAAATCCAACATCCGGAGCTGTAATAATAGCAGTAGTAGTTGTAGCAGCAGCAGTAGAAGAAGCAGCGGTGGTGGTAGTACTCAATGGCAGTACTGGTGATGGTGCGTGATAACCATCATGAAAATACATCAAGGGGGGGAGGAGGAGGAGCGGAACAGCAGCAGGAGGAGAGGTCACCTGGTTGTCCGGCAATATATCTGCATCTGCCCCCAGGTATGTGTCCTCACCCCAACTTGCCATGTACTCATTTTAACGACCCCATGTGCCACAGAAATAGGTCCCGCGTCCAGACGAAAAACTGTTTGCAAAAAGTCACCTATCCCTAAATGCGCATCCCTCAAGGCCTCTCTCTGCACTTGAAGCCCTTCTCTTTAAGGTTAGAAGTATGGGTCTTCAATATGGGTCCTGAGGCCTTTCAGGGGGTTTCTAGGGACCTTTCAGGGTACCTATATAGGGTATATAGTAGGTTTACAAGGATCCCAGAAGTAAGAGCCCATACTAGGGGCCCATGGTTTCAACCTTGCATTCTCATGAAACAGCAGACAAGGTGCGGACTCATTATTCGGTTCGTGGTCACTTCGCAGGCAATTGGCTTTTCACCTGAACTTAGGGGCTTATGGCCTATAGTTTAAACTCCTAGTATCCCCTGAATATCCCTTAAATTCCCTTACAGAACCCTTCAAGGAGTTTAGACGGTAGCTATATGACTTGCCTACTTCCCCCTCCCAATCCCATCCGTCCTTAATTGTATGAAGTGGAGGTGGACGGAGGGGGGTGCCCATGGACCAAAACCTGCCATGCCAAAGTAAGATAGCATGCGTGAACACTGCCGAAACCGTAAACACTGGCGCATAGCCTGAGAACGCGCATTTACACCACCCAAAATGCCAAATCCTAAACCCTAAACCCCAAACCCTAAACTCCGTAAGGGTGGTATTTGGCACAGACCCTCTGCAAGCTGTTTTCCTGGATCATCCTTGAGAATCTCAAGTGAGCAGCGTTTTTTAGATGGTTGAACCTAGTGAGATTAAATTATATTCCTTATATAAAATACTATACCCCAAAAGGAGGATAGAATCTTACTCTAGAAGGGGTACCATAGTATCCCCAAATAAAATACTACTCAAGTGTAGTTTTCCGTTTTCTTCGCGAAACAACACGGGGTAATCCAACAGCTTTGACCCTTAACTCGTGGAATGGACACTGCGAGCACGGGAAGCAACAAGACGTACAGCTGGGCCGGCAAGCAGAAAGGATAGGATCTGAAGATTTAGGGCCATGTCAATGCTCAAACCCGCGGATGTACGGAATACCTCCTGAAAGTGTAGAACCCAGCCCTTAGCTTTTGACCAAGGTTGTGGTTGCGAGCTTGGCTGCTATGGCGCCAAAATGTCAATCAGAATGAGTCCCTTTGAGGATTGGGTATTTCCGGACAGCAGAAGCTATAGTCTAAACCCCACGTAGCCCCCGTAATAACCCCTGTAATAATCCTCCTTATGCAGTTTAGATTATGGCTCATATGTCGTTGGGCGAGCTTTACACTGCTGGATCTGCAACAGGACTTCCAAGCTACACATGTGGCCAAAGGGTTATACGGGGGTTATATTGGGATAATGCAAAATAAAATGGAAACAGCTATTTAGGGGTTCAGGGCTTCAAAAGGGTCCTTGCAGAGAATATGTAAGCGGCTTTCATTAATCTGGCCTCCAGTATCTAGCCTGGAAATTGCGTGGCTTCCTCGTATACAGAATATGACTACACCTGCAGTACGTTCCAGCTTACCGGGTTTGTTTTATTCCTTCTTCAGGATTATACACCCAATTATACTGGAGTAGTTTCCACTTTCATATTCTGGGTGGCATATAGGGTATTAGAATATTCCATTTTGTATTATGGTATATCATGTGCCTTCAAACCTTCGGCAATGTTTTTAAATCTATGCAAGCTAAGGCTCGGGCACTTCCCTTCCCGAGGTTCCAAGAACATACAAGATCTATAAAAAATGTGCAATGCACCTCGTTTGACCTGCCTTCTTACACACAGTGTATCATAAGAGCGACGGACTAAAGACGTCCAGTGGCCACGCAAGTCAAAGAACTCGTTGCAAAGCTCCTCTGTGGTGAAGTCGTTGTGCTTCCCGCCATTGTACTCAATAATGGACGGGAACTTCTGCTTCAACTCGGCATGTCACAATACTGATCTACCGCAGCGTCCACCTCTGACGCTCGCTGCGGCACAGCATATACCCACACAAAGCAAAGCTTAGGGGTTCATAGTGCCCGTGCGTAGGCAATTGGAAGTTCCAACAGTTGTGAACAAACTGGCGCAATCAACACAGTTGCTGATCTTTTCCCAACAAAATATACCACTAGGCTCCTTACCCTCCAGACTCAACATCCTCACACCTGAGTTCTTGTGGCGCCTTTCTACATGTGAGCCAGAGTTGCCGTCACCTTTTCCCATATTTCTGGGCCCCCGAGCCAAACAAAATCTGTTGTATGCATGGTCCGAATAGCAGGCCATCATGGATAGTTCAACATGGCCTTCAACCAACATAAGTTTATGAGAAGTCTTTCATGTCTAAAGAGCCGAGTGTAGTACATCCAAGATCTTACCCAAAGACAAATGCTGCCATTGGCCCTCATGCCACCGCTGCGGTGAACAAGAGGTTTCTTAAAGGATTCCTCCCCAAAGGGCCCGCCAGAAGCCTATGACTCAGTACTGTGCAAACCTGTACAGCTCCTGCTTCGCGATTTCAGGCGGCTTACTAGCAGAATCAGACGGTAGTGATGCAGGCCGTCATTTGATTCTTGACTGGTTGTACACTTGAAGAGGCCGAGACCACTGGACCAGACTTTCTTACAGCTTACCCCTGCATCCCAATTTATGTTCAGAACTGGCAATGGCTAAGCTGTACTTTGGTTTTGGTGTTGCATTCAGGTCCCTGACCGCAGCCAGGCTAACATGCCCCATATCCCTGTTTACATCCAGGTCTCAGGCCGGGTCCGAAACTAAGCCCCAAACTCTAAACATTGAGCCCTAGGCCCCTAAACATGTAGGTCTAAGCCCCGGAGCCCTCAAGACGAAGCCCTAAAACCCTAAATCTTACAACCCTAAGCCCTAAATCCTGAAACCCTAAAACCCTAAGCCCTTGCAGCCCAGAGGCCCACTCGCAGTACGCACACGCCAGTTCATCATGGTAGCCTGCCAGGAACTCAGGCTTAGGGTTTTAGGGTTTAGGGTTCCGGATTCGATGTTTAAGGGTTTTAGGCGGTGTAGGCATTTCAGGGGTTTAGGGGTTTAGGGTTTCGGGATTTAGGGTTTACAGTTTTAGGGTTTTAGGGTTCTAAGGTTGAGGGTTTTAGGGTGTAGGTTCGGTTTAGGCGTGTAGGTTTTGGGGTTTGCGTGTGGGGTTTAGAACCTCAGAGTTTGCTAGGTAGGTCCTAAAGTTCTTCCCAATGCACCTCTCAACTACCCCAGAGTTTAGGCTGTGAGGTTCAATCAGCAAGTGCCCTAAATCCTAAACTTACTGGGGATTTGTAGAAGATAACAGAGTCTATTACACAGGGATGTTTGATTCCCTGCTGACCCACCAGTATGTAAACCCTAAACTGTGTAGGGATTGACCCCAAAGCCCTGCGGCCCTCGCGCATGGTGCTCAAACTCAGGCCTTGGGCACAACCAAACAAGGGTTTGGGGCTTCGGGTTCAGGGCTTAGGGTCTTGGGGTTTGGGGTTTAGGGCATGATTCTCCTCTACCTTGCCTGTTTCCTCGAAAATGAAGCACCCAAGTCTGAGACCATCCTGGAGCCTCCCAAAACCGCCAGCTCCCAGCAGTCCTTCTACGTAACATCATCCCCATAAATCCTAAATCCTCAACCCTGAACCCTGAACCCTAAACCGTAAACCCAAAATCCTAAACATGAAAAAACGATATCCCGGTGATGGCTTGGGAGATCTTAGACGGAGCATGAACTTAGAGCATGGGGATCCCTCCGGATGCTACAAGGCTCAGATTCCAATGATTCCAATGTCTCCTTTTCCCCTGAAAAGCGTTCAGGGTTTAGGGTTTCGGGTTAGGGTCAAGGTCCCTGAAACCTCCTGACCACGGTAGCCACTTTTGATCACTGTGCCCAACTGTCTTGCATGTTGACTGCCTCTTTTCTACCCAACCTGCATACTCAAGCAGTACTCTCATAATGGGATCCTGAGGAATTTGGTTAGTGGAGCCTACCCAACCCCTAAATAGTAGCTTCCATTTTCGTTTCCATTATCCCCATGCAAACCCTTTTGCACGCAGCTGGCTTTTGCACTACTTCTGCATCTTGGTCTGGTTTGCTATAAGCGAACTCTTCAGGCTTTCGAAAGCCAGCGGAACCTTGCAAGAAATCTATAGTCCCCTTAAGTAGATAGGGCTTAAGCTTTAGGGTTATAGTCGCCCCTTAAGTAGATAGAACATGGGAGGGTTATCTTGGGATAATGGGAAAGAAAACGGAAACTACAATTTAGGGTTTAGGGTCCCCCTTGAGTAGATAGAATATGGGACATATGGGGATATTATCAGAATATACCCAAAGCCGTGTTCTATCTCCTTAAGGGGGACTATCAACATCAATTCCCTGGCTCCATCCTTTGGTTCCAAACACAAAGCCAGACGACTGAGAAGGTCAGAAATGGAGCTGACTTGCAAATATGGCGGCCTCCACCTTTATCGCAAGCACGTCGGGCAGCCAAATTTTTGCAAATGGAGGGAACACCTGTACAGTCAAGCCCAGAACGTATTATGGCACGCTTGATCAAGGCGGCACTGACCCCTGATTCACTCGTGGAGCGCCCTGATGAATATGATCTCTTGGCTTCAGAAGTTCCAATGACGGCCGACCTGATAGTTTCCCACAGAAAGGGTACCCCAATATAGACCCTAATATACCATACTCCTTATTATAGTCACCCCCATAAAGGTACCCCTAATTTTGGGAAACCCCCATTTAGAGCTTGCCGAATGGCTCGATGAGGCCCAGGCCAGGCTTCAGGCACTTGTCAAAACTGAAGGTCGCCAGTGTTTAGAGGAAGCCATAAGCGCCTGATCCTGAGATCTGTCGGTCTTGAGGGTCTACTACTGGTGGTTAGCTAGCAAGTATGCTATCCCTAAACCAAATCTAGCTCCTATATCCCCTTATCGAAACATCTGAGCTTCTGAATCCAGTCGAAGGCCTCGGTTGTGGGCATGACCTCGCGTTCAAGGGCTTCAGCAAGTCGGTTATACTATTTTTTCTTGGGGGGGGGAGGTTGGGGTTTAGGGTTTAGGACTCGAGGACATAATCATCTAGAGTTAGGAGCTTCCAAAACTTAAGGACATATAGCAGACAGGGATTATACGGGGACACTTAGGGATAGTATCCCGCAATAATGGAGAGCCAAATGCAAACGACAATGGAAAATGAAATGGACACTGGGATCATATAGTGGCTTATAGGGATTAGGGCTGTAAGGGCTTCAGCGGGGAGTGGATTTAGGGAGTTGCGTCTCAAAGAAGCCATCACTCAGTAGAAGCACTATTCTTAACACTGCAAATATTCCTATTGTTATTACTGCTATTAGTAACATTATTTTTAGCACTTAATATCAATACACAATTGTGAATATCAATACAAAAACTCTTATTAGAAAAAGCTAGTCCTGAGACCTGGGAGTTGTCTGCGTGTGAGGGCCTCAAACCCTACAGTCCCCCCTAAGTAGATAGAATATGGTTTTGGGTATATTATACTAAGCCCCCCATATACCCCATATTCTATACCCTACATAATCCATTATAGTAGTTGTAGTTTCCATTTTCTTTTCCATTATCCCCATATAACCCCAATATAACCCTCATATACCCCATATTCTACTTAAGGGGGATTATAAACACTGAACCCCTAAAGCCCTAGGAGTTTCGATTTTATCGGCTGCGCTTTTTTTGCACCTGGAGGCTGAGCTTCTAGCCGGGGAGGACGTGGATACAGCCCCCTTAAATAGATATAGTTTTTTTTTTAATATAAGGTCTAGGGTATTGTCACCCTTAAGTTGATAGAATATGGGGTGTAGGGGTATCTTAGTGTGATTTTGGGCAGCTCCATAGTCTATCTACTTAAGGGGGACCGTATGTTTTGAAGCAGGATGTCGCCCTGTCAACTCTGACGCGCAGATCCTGAAGACAAGTCTCTTGTGGAGGTGCCGTGCTCTTAAGCTAATGGTCTTACTGGCTGTTAGTAAGGAATGAGGGGATGTAATTCCTATAAAACTCCTATATAATGAATTCCCTGACCTGGGTTGCTGTTAAGGAACGTAATTTAAGCTACTATATTGGGGAAACCCTACTATCTATTATATATATATGTGTATATATCCCTTATGGTAACTTCATTGAAGCTCCTTAAAAGCAACCCAGTAAGTCTAAATGCCAGGGCAGCTCCTTGGCCCCAAAGTGAGTTGCGATAGCCTGCCTCCTATCACGGCTGCCTCCAACTTGCATCATTCCAAGGGTCGAGGTTTCGGGTTTCGGGGTTCAAGTGTTTTTGTTAGTTCCCATCAATAGGGGGAATCATCAAAAGGTACCCCAAATTTTTGGAAACCCTCGCATCTTAATCATGCTTTCGCCTTTCGCCTGACATCCCGGACTGCACTGCAGATAATCTTGAGCCTGCAACCTGTCTTTGAACCCTGAAGTCGCAGTGAGCTGTAAGGCTGAAACAGTGAGTGTATCAGATTCGCGCCCTTGTTCCTGGTAACGATCTTGCGAGCCATGCTGAAAAGCTGCTGAAATCCAAACATCAAAGCCCAATATTGGAAAGCCAAATCCATATTTGGAACCCTTGCGCGTAAACGCTAAATCTTAACGCCTACAATCCTGCAAGCTAACACGCCAAACCACATTGTCCCGTTCTGAAGGAAGCCCTCTGAAGGTTTCCATGCTAGCTTCTAGGAGAGTAGATCCTAATCCAAGACCCCATCCCACGGTAGTCAAAGCACAAGCCTCCTAGACGTTGATGGTTTCGCCCCAGCGGTCTTCAGGCACATGGTCCAACCAGGCGGCTGCTTCTCGGTTCAATTTCTGCAGCCATGCTTGCCGTCGCTCGTGTTCATCCTGTGCAAAGCCGCGCAGCAGTCGGCGAGTTGCTCTGGCGTGGTCGGAATCTG